AAGGGGTGTTGGACCAAACAAGTGCACTATTTACAACATTTTCAAGAACTATCAAGCAATCCACTCATTTCACACATCTTCAATGGATTGCAGAGACAGAATTCTGTCACTGGCTGTGACAGTGGATTATCCTTGTATGTGGTACAAGATGTTTATTATGTTTTGTTAGGATTTGTGCAGGAAACATTATAGTAAATGGTGGCAGGCTAGAAGGAACATTGCCAAAGCTCTTAAGACACCCAAACACATCTGAAACACGTATTTCAACATTTTAAGATCGGACATGTGAAACTGCAGAGCATTGATTTTTGGGGGGGGAAATACAGTTAATGATAGTATGAAAAAAAGTGCTTTAGTTCAGAGAAGTGTTCTCATGGCTACATTTCCCTGTAGCCTCAATGCAGTGACAAGTTATATTTTAAAACTCCTCAAAAAGCCCTTAATGCATTCTAACAGAACTCGGAATTGGCAAAGACCAGACTCGTTAGTGATCCCCATTAAGGCTCATGGCTGTAATTAGAAGCATAAAGAATCCGTAAGGACCGCATTCTCCCTGGGAAATGAGAGAATGCGAAGCCGGCATTGATGACTGAACTGAGTTAAAAGCCTGGGAACCTCACCTCTGTCGCTGAATAAACAAAGCCGTTTGTTTACACCTCTCCGTGGGGCTGATCAATGGAATTCACGAGACACGGCACCTCATGTCACAGGCGACACCTGGCAGATCTCCACGCTTTCTCGGGTTTCTTAAGACCACAAGCTGCCCCCCCGCTTAATTCTCAATAGAATCCTTAATATTCCTCCATCCTCCACGATTCCTCACAGAGATGCTAAGCGGTATGTTACCTGGGGTCACACGAGCCCCCGAGCGAGTGCGATCAGGTAAATAATCTGTAGCTTGATGTTGCAAGGTTTCACAGAACGGTCCAAGACAACATGAGCAGACAGTTCCCTTTTCAGCAACAGTTTATCCCAGGATCGGTCCATTATAAAATCCAACGCATCCGGATCACTTCACAATTTCAATTCCACAATTTTATTGAAACCACAATTTCAATTTTAAAAAAATCACACACGTCTGGGCATGTATGTGAATATATGTCTGTGAATCGAATGCATATTTTTTAAATTTGATATTAGTTACGTGAAAGGTGGAATTGTCAATAAAGCGAATTCCTGAGACCGCTATGTTAAGCTTTTTAATTTTGTGGTGTAACTTCCTAATACCTGGGGTATCGCTTACTCACCACTCAAATTTATTAATATCTGTGGTTAGGATGTGCACTTCTTAAAAGAAACTCATTACATCCACATCGATAAGACATATTGAAAAATCTATTGCAGGCATTGTATCTTGAAGTGTAAGTGCTGTTAAAATGAGTTTCAATTACGTCTTTCAAACCACATAAAGAGGGGATTCATAAAATAGCTATTGCACAGATACGAAATGCCCGAGAGAGGATCGCGCTTCAACCCGAATATGCGCTTTTCCTGGGAACTCTCAAAACAGCTTCCTTTACTCTGCTGTTGCGGCAGTCATTGCTACAGCCTCGCTCAGCTGTTTCGACAAATATTCACCAGTTGAACCAATCGGTTTCCCGGTCCACATCGGACAGAAGTGATATTAATATTCAACAGGCCATCCAATTATCTTGGCTGGGCATGAAGAGATATGCAAATACATAGAAAGCGGGTATCGCTATTGGCTTACTTGGCTGATGACACAGCCGAGTTTCTCCCAAATATTCATCAAGCCGCTTGCGGCTCCTGCGCAAATAAAGGGAGATAGCGGAGTCCAGGCTGAAGCAAACTTTTTTTTTTTAAGTAACAACTTTTTTCCGCGATGGCTTTTGCGCAACCGTGACTTTCGGGACTAAGATCCCAGCTGAAGGGAAAGATCGCTGGGCAACAACCCGGAGGGAGCAGCGCTGGCCTGGGAAGGCAAAGAGAACAGACGGGGGTGGGAAAAAAGAAATCAGTGAAATTACAAAGCAGATAAAGGAGGTGTGATTTGTTTGAACAAAACGGTGGAGGACCGAGTAAACCCTTCTTTTTTTTCAAAGATGAGCTTGCTGTCTGCCATAGACACCAGTGCCTCTGTGTACCAGCCTGCCCAGCTTCTGAACTGGGTCTACCTGTCTTTGCAAGACACTCACCAGACCAGTGCCTTTGACGCTTTCAGACCAGAACCCAATTCTTCCCACCCGGATCTGAACTACACCAAGCCTGCTGCAGACCTGAGCTCTTCTCTCAATTCCAACTATCTCAACAACTTCTTTCAGCTTCAAAGGAGTGAGGTTAGAGAGTTTGGGTGATTCTTTTTCACTGCTTTTGCCCGTGTACGCATTTATAGTGCCGCCTGGTCCGCTACACATTTAATATAGGTTAAATGCCACGTTGTGTTTACTCTCATACCTCTGTACAAATAAATCTGTTTGGGGGAGAAAGGACAGGCGCACGGCTCTGTAGCCTTTTCTAAGATAGAAACCCGCCATGATGTGAAACGGAAAGTTATAGCATCCCAGATTTCTCAACGAATCGTGACCCTGTCGTGTTTGCTGGAGGAGTTTAAGTTTTGACAAGAATAACAAAAGTCAACAAAAGATGCTCTTAGTTCAAAAGCAGCGGTAGAATTCCCAGAATATTACAAAAGGCCGTCTTATTTGTTGTTTAAAAGAAAACTGGTCTCAGTTTACATTTTGTTTAATGTGGAAGTTATAGTGAGCCTTATGGTGACGATTTTCTTTTTTTAAGAATTCAACTGACCTCAGTGAATCGTTCGTGAAAATGTTGGATTCGTGGATGAACTCAGTTGACAGCAGCGAGATTGCCGAACTTTTCACTTAAGCGTTTCAGACAATGTAACTACTGTGCTAGAAGTGTGCGCTCATTATAGATGTATTTTAATCGAAGCTCCCCCTTTGTACGCTAATGCATGTCCTGTAGGTGTGACAGGAAAACGGTCCGTGCTCGTGGATAAACACCCCACAGCTGTTGGAATAAATGGTCGTAATGACACGGTGAGGAGGTCGCTGTGCTGTGGTCAGCGAGCAGCTCGGGCAGACGCCGGCTGCGCGACAGCTCGGCTGCCCATTCTCCGATAGAAGCCCCCGGTTTAGGCCGAGACGCTTCGGCACGCTGGAGAGGTTTCGTCTGCGGTGGGGCAACCTTCGGTAGCTACAAACAAAGCGGGTTTAAATATACTATGCAGGGTGTAACGGGGAAGAAAAAAAAGGGTGTCGTTTCCACCGTGCACTTGGCACGGACGTGTCTGCAGCTCTGGTCTGCATGCAGATTAGATGCCTACCGCTCGGCTGTATTTGGTCTAGTCTTCCTCAAGTAAGACACGACACAAGTCAGGACGGATAATTTTATATGCATTATGTGTGACTTTCATTAACGTTTTGATACTTTTAATATTCATTTTGAACTGTTTTGCTACACCAAATCCTAGTGTTGTGTTGTGAAAAAGAATGGTTACAGTAATTCAACGACCGCCTTGAAGTTATTTTATAACCTTGAGGTTATGTACTACGATTTTTCTGACAACGTAATGAAATGTTGACAATTACTATAATCCAAATGCAGAACTAAATAATTAAAGGAATCTGCAACTGATTTTTTTAAAAAGGTTTCGACTGTATCGTAATATGCCTTGTGTAGATGTTGTAAATCAAATCATGGTGAAGTTGAAAATAACGAGAGGGATTGCCAGAAATAATCTCCTGTATTATTACTTGACACCTTACTTAATTCCTAATATTTTCCATTGCATTTATTTAATTTTGTTCGTTCCCGATAGCTTTCGATTTTTATTACTTGGTTCCTTCCACACATGACAACTCCTGGATTTCACATAACGTGAGCAGCAAAAAAAAAAAGACTAAATTCATTAAAACACTGGTTTCTGTTTCTATGTGTAAAAAACATGTAAGCTTATATTTCCCAGCATAGGTTTGGGTACACTTCTCACTTCTCACATAAGCCTACAGTCGCTATCACTTCAATGGCGATACAATACATTGAAACGGTAACCCTGTGAGTTCCCTTTCAAAAGCAGGCTGAGTGACACACCTGGCTCAAAGTTACAATGACAACATCCCAGCTGGGATTTGAACCCACATCCTCCGGACTCCAGAGCCCTGATCTCTCCTCCTGCCTTGAATGATGTCTCCTTAGGTTTCACCTTTCAGTGGTTAAGTCTTTGTTTGGCTCCGGCACCTTACACTTCCTGAAATCAATCATTTTAATATGTAATAAAGTTCTCCTTACAGCGTGTCAGAATTTACATTTTATTTAAGCATTTATTTTGAAGCAAGCCAGTCAGAAGTAATGTTGATATGGCTTAGTGTCTGTTGTAAACACATACTGTATATGCATTTTCCATTTTTTTTAATTAAAAGTGCAGCTACGACACTACACAAAAGTTTGCTCTGTAAATACACATTTTGAAAAATGCTTGCTTGATAACTGAACTGCCATAAATGGTTTTAGTGACGTTCTTCTTTAGTTCTTACAATAAGGCACACATAGAATTATCAATATATGTACTGTCCTGTAGGAGTTCATGTAATGATATACAATAATAAAGCACTAGAAGGGTAATATGGACTATTGACTATAAAAAAGTAGACTTTAATGTAATGGAATACGTTTTGGCAGCTAGATATGTGAATAATGAAAGGATACATATGCAGTCTGTAGTTGTAAAAAAGGACATAACTAGTCTTTTACAATGGTCATGCCAAGTACAGTACCTGTGCCAGAATCAGAGGAGTAAAATGCATTTGGTGTGAGATGAAGGCTAAAGAATTGCATGATCTAATTCTCCCCTAAATGTAACACTGTTAGAGAATCTCCATGTGGGATTATAAAAAATACTGCCTGGGCCAACTGTTGATCTCTTTGGATATGACATTCTTATTTTAATTTTTAGTGTGTTGTTGGTCTTTGGCTCAAGAAACTGTCAAAGCTGTTCCGAGAAATTAGTTACCCTGCTAGTTAGAGTTTAGCCTTAAACTGATAGCTGGCACGTCCCTGACATGATTTCCGAAATAAACAAGGTTTCAAGAAATAGCCTGAGAGGCAAGTCCTGTCAGCAGTCAGGCCAAGATTGAAAAAAAGTCCAGCGTGAGAACCAGGTTTCCATAGAGATGTGTTGATGGAAAATGTGAAACTGCAGGTGAAGGACCCAGTTAAAAGTGAAAACTAAAATCCAGATTGAAAAACCGTAATACATCTTGGGTTCTTCTGATTTGAAAGGTGGTGGACGATGAACAGATGTTCTGTAAGCTCCTATCCAGTTAAAACATTTTTTCAAGAAATGATCCCAAGACAAATTCACTTGGGCTGCTTACAGGAATGTTATTTATTATTTATTTAAAGTTTTTAGTCTGCTTATGTGGACATCGCCACTATCAGATGTTATGCTTTTCCAAAACTGCGCCATGTTAGCCTGCACAATGTGATGAACATAGAGACAGCAGAAACGTTTAGTTTAGAAGTGTTTAGTTACACTTGTATCAGTTTCCTACAAAACTGCTCTTCCAGCATTAATGTATTTCATTTCCTCTATGTTTCCGTTTTCATGCTATATTAAGTATAGTTTATATCAAGTAAGTAAAATAATTTTTCAAGGTGTTAGGGTGAATCAGACAATTGTTGCCCTAAATATAATTTTTGAAATGCAAGATAGACCTATGGAGAGCAAGAGAGATTGAAGTTGAAGAACTACTAGTATAATAAAGTATAATGCTTAGTAGCGGAAAGCGTTCCTTTGTAGAGGGACATGTCTTTATCCAAGCATGTTTCCAATTAAAATACTGTTGCAAAACAAATGGCACATTCTACTAAGTTCAGATTTCCTAGCTAGAAATTGGCAGTACGTTTTTTCTTAGCAATGCAAAATGTTATATACGGGGCTCATGTGAATATGAAATATTAGGCCTACATTTATTTATAGGGGAAAAAACACTTTCAGTAGAAATGTAATGGATACAAGTAGACATTTAGACACAACGAATCAAAGACAATATTTTCTTCTAATATCGTCAACCGTCTTTGTTTTGTATAAGCAGCTATCTGGACACTCCAGTTATAGTTTGGTTTGTTTCGATTCTCTGTTGGCCTTCTGTGCGAGTATCAGCTTTCCTGCTTGCTCTTCCTGGTTGTTTAGTCTTGATCTGCAGAGAAAGAAAAATTATTCAGAGTTTTGTTTCCAGTAAACGCTTGAAACAAGTATATACATCCCTGGGTAAACTCAAAGCAGACAGAAACATCTGACCTCCCAGTTTTATTGACCACAGCCTATCCTGAGGTGGAGAGTTTAACCCTTCGTTTGCACCTTCTTCGTATCCTGAGCTCTGATGTATGTGTCTATGGACCAGGAAAGAGAGGGCAGTGGCAGTTTAAAAAAATGCTAAGCCGAACAGTGGCTTGGGACAGTAGGAAAGAGAGCTCCTATTGGGATACACAGAAGTAATTTGTGCAGTGAATAGCCCTCCTTGTGTCCTCTTATAGTGCCTATGTGTTAGAACAGCGTTCTGGTGTCAGTGAGCATCTGTTTGGGAAAGCAAGGCCACGGAACCCCCTGCTGATTTTTATACTCTGAATGGAAGAGTTCACTAAGGTCCATCTGATTCTTTCAGTAGAGTATATGATGTCTATTTACTGAAATATGGTGCCCAGTTATACCCTCCTCTATCTAAGGAATTGTCAGCTTTAGTTGTTTTTTCTTTTTTTGTACTTCTGTTAGTCCATTGTTTACCTAGGATAAAACACACATAAAAGCTTCCATTTGAAATGTGCATATATTTCACATTCAATCTCTGATGTCCTTTGCTTGCATAATCTTTTAGTTAATTTTTAACACTGACATTGTAAAGATTTTAATATGTAGTCAGTATTAGTTGGTATTTTTTTGTTTTCTCATTGGCTGCATTAAGATGAAGGCTTACTAGCCACTGAGTGTTGCACTGATTCACAATTTGCAGGAAAATATAATTAAGTACTTTTTATCAACTGGCAGCATTTCATTGTATGGTTTTGGAATAAATAGACTAACATGTAAGTTCAGGATATCTGTGCTTGTATTGAATTCCTCTAAAACTGTTTTATGGTTATGAATTTGTGCATTGCATAAAGAATATTGCAGTACGTGGTGGACGTTCTGAATTACTCAGTTCTTCCAGGTTTGATCACTGCACAACAGATTACTATTTAGATTACAGCAGATTATTTTTTCATCTCTCTTTCATAAGATGCTGTGTTTCTAGGAAATCTAAAGGAAGTATGCATTGGAAGGATATTCTGAATGGTCCCAAGAGTATAGGAAATGAGAAGGATTTTCCTGCTCTCTGGAGAAAGTGCATCGCAGATGAAAATTGATGAGGAAGGAGCTGAAATTCAGGAGGAAAAGAAGAATGTTACATTTTTGTTTTAAGTTTTTAACTTATCATAGATTCGGTTGGGGGTTATCCTATCCTGTTAGAGGAGGGCTGGTGTCTCTCTGGGTCTCTTAAAAGTGGTGCACGATTAAGATTACATGCTGAGTTGGACAGAGAAACTATAGCGCCTTATTCCAGTCTGGTCCTGGAAGAGTGGGCCTCCAAAAGTTGTAGTTTTTTTTTAATGCTGCTTTAGTTGTCCTAGCAATGAGTTTAAGGATGGCAGCATCAGGTTGCATGACATCTGGCTATATCTGTACAGAAGTTAAGCTTTTCAGATTTATTGCAATATTTGATTTTCCTTAAATGAAGTGGCGTCATGCCATATAGGCTACCCTGGACATGTGACAGATAATCCTACACACTGTGACGACAGAGAGTAGGATCCCAAGATGGACTCCGTGTGTTCGAACAGGCAGGAACTGTCTTGAGCGAGTGGCAAACCGGAACATGTTTCGGGAAACAGAACGTGTGTGAGGCGCTCTCTTCTAATCCATGCTAATGACTGTGCACAGTGCTCCAGAGGACATAATAGCCCAAACACAGCAACACCGAACAACACACGAGGGTGACGTGCATGGAAGAGATGTTGCAATTAACGTGTTATTTGGAAATGCAATCCAGCTGAAGTCTAGAAAATATAAGCAAGTGTCTGTTTTGCAGACTCGGGCTGTATGATGCTCCTTCCATGTTTACATTCAATGGTTTTTACTCATGTTGGCTTTTCCCTTCTGGCCCCTCAGTACTTTTCCGCCTCTCATTCTGCTTTTTACACACAAAGACCACAGGCCACCATGGCCCTCATGCCAAAAACAGACACCAGCTCAACACAAGCCCCTTATTTTGGTGTAGGAGTTCACTAAGGGCAAGACGCTCCATATTTCGTCTCTAACAGAGGCAAGATGTTCAGGGTAGTAATGGCACTTGTACACCACACCTCAAGGGAGATACGATTAAGAGAAAACACTCTCCCGTCAGCTTCTAGAATGCTTTTTCCTAGATTTCAGCAAAAATTGTGACATATCTAATCCTACTGCGAAGGAAAAGTAATGTTAGCTTTCTTAAGGGAGTGCAGGATTCCACCTCAGTAACTCTGCTTGCGTTATTATGTTTACTGTGAGACATGTCCAGGAAACCTCATGTTTTGATGTCTACCTCATCAAGGATCTGATTTCTGGTGAGAACCAAGTGGAAACACTCCCATATACCCAGGAGATAAGCCTTTGTTTACACAACTAGCACCTTGAGATCCTGCTTGGCCTGGATTACTGGCACAATAAAACAGTGGGTCTGTTTAATAGATATATAATATTAATGGACCTAAACTGCAGGTTTATTATTCTGTGATTTTTAATATCCTTTTCTTATTTTAAATTGTAGGCTTTAAATAACAGTCTCTACAAAAGTGCCTCTCCATATGGCTCCCTCAACAACATTGTGGATGGACTGAGCTCGCTGACAGACCATTTCTCCGACCTGTCTCTCTCCTCTGAGCCGCGCAAGCCCAGCAAAAGGCCTCCTCCTAACTACCTGTGCCACCTGTGTTTCAACAAGGGACACTACATCAAGGACTGCCCGCAGGTAAGAAACACAGCTCCCACAGAGAGGGCTCATTTCTTAGACTAGCATTTGGCTTTATAATAGGCATTGCATCTTTGTCAAACAGCACCCTCAACAGTATTCCATCCAATTACAGGGTACATGTCTGTCAATACAGAGGATATACTGTAGGCACAGTTTTTGTAACATTGACTTATGGGCAGTTCGATAATGAAGAATGATGTACTAATTGTAATTGAAGACCCAATATACTATTGCACCCTTTAAAGTCAAAATGTGGCCTTTTTTGGGCTGACGTACATGCACTTTTGCTTTCTAATGGAAAGCAAAGCCTGTTGTTGCGGTCGTCTTGCTGTTGTTTGTCCACGTCAGGGTGATTGTGAAAGCAGTGGAGCTTCCCGGAATGACAAATCACCAAACTGCCTTCATAAATGGACAATGTCTTGTCCACTGCGTACGAAATGAATTTACGGGATCTGGCATAAAGAAAACATGCCCTGGGCTGCCATGTGTGGCTCATGGATCAGGACGAAAATTTTAACAAATCCCAAAAGCAGTACTGAAAACATTTTGAAGCTTCTTTTCCAATCACAAGGAATGAAGCTATTTACTTTTCAAGCGTGTCATGCAAAATGAATAATGTGCAACAGGTGGCAACAGTTATATGACAGATGTGAATACCAAATTATGTCAGGATCAGGGATAGAAAGCCTTGCACCACTGTAGTGTTGTGGAACATATTTGCTTCTCGGAATGGAATTTGCTTCAGCATTCAGTAGAGCTCTTCATGCTAGTGATATTGTACAGTAGTAAGACCGTTATTTTATGACATTTGCAAGAGTAGTCAGTTACCACTGGGTTATTAATTTTAAGTTGAGAAAAACAGAAAATAAAGGTAACAGGTCTGAGGACAGTGAAGGAAACAGCATTTAAAGCAGTGGGCCCACTTAAAAAAAAACCTGGCAAACATCTTATTTAATTTGGTGGATGTCTTTGTTTGCCTAATCGGTTAAAGGAAAACCAAACACTGTGGAATTTTGGTTTTCTGGTAATGTTACGGGCTAGTGAAAAAAATATTTTGTAATAGTAATGCCAAATGGAAACATGCTGAGGTCACGGAGAACTAAAAACTACTACAGGGAGATAAGAAAAGTTCTCAACACAAGGAGCCCGTTCAGTAGGTAATCTCCAATTGGTCTGGGGATCTCATCCTGCTGTGTCTTGAATGAAGCCAGGGTATGTCTCTGTAGCTTGTTCCCGGCTCCCACAGCTCTTTGAATACAGAAGTTCTCCTGTTCTCAATTTTTAAATGCACTTCCATGTAGTTTCAATTTATTTCTTTGTTTTGTTTTGAAGAAGTCCCGTGGACTGACTTGGTCACTGCCTTTCAGGATGTTTCTTGTCCCATGTCCCCTCATTGGCTTCTGTTCAATTCCTTCATTTTCAGTGTAGGACTCTCCCTTAAGCTCTGGAATGCATGTTGCTGATTGAAGACAACCATGATTGGCTTTGTGATTTATCAGCTGGTGCAGCGACACTGTTTGTCCGTTATCGGTGTCTCGTACATGCTGCTCGTATTGCCATGTGTGACTAAGTCCTATCCAGTTCCACGACTGTGCCACGTTGCAAATGTGGAAGGGGGTGGGCACAGTGCTTGATGTAGCACGGTTTGTTTGATAAATGCAAATTATCTTTGTATAAGCCAATGTCAACAGGGAAACTAACACAGAGTTAAAACATTGTTTTGTGAGAACACTGATTTGTGGACATTGTGTGGGCTGCCGGCGACATTGGATTTGTTTTTACTAAAAAAAAAAGGCGTTGGGTGAATATGCCCTGCCCCAGGGAGGGGCAATAAAGTCCAGATGTGGGATTAATACTGTAAACCTCTCTCTGGGAAAGATGTGGGGTTGTTCTAGTATAGTACATCAGAGGGTGACATACTTCTGAAACTCATGGCTATGTTTGATTTGTCATTGATCACTGGTGTTATTGGGTCTCCAGCCATTAACGTTTCAGAAAACATAAGGTTGTCCTTTCAAGTAACACGAAGTAGAAAACGTTTTGCCACTAGAAACAAATTGAATAACCTTAGTAAACTGGGAAAGCGCTCTAAAGTCTTAATTTTAAATTCTTGAGCTCTGAATTCTTGATGGTTTATAAGAGCAAGTGATTTCGGTTTATGGACTTGATGTTGTTTGCAGGAGCTTGATGGGAAAAATGGAAAAGATGCATTAACAAATGACAGCCCTATTGAAAGTTTACTTTTCTAATCCTTTGGGTGAATGTTTGTGCACAAAGACATGCTGACCTGTGGAAAATGTTTGTGTAACAAGCTACTATTTCTAAACTTGTAGGTTCCGGTAAACCCCTGGATACCAAGCTATAATGACATTTTGTTTTTTTGTATTTTGGCATGTAATCATTAATTTGTACAGTGACAATGGGAACTTAACAGAACTAAATTACAAATGAGAAAAAAGGCTCTTTTGGCCCATGTGGCCAGTTTGGTGGCTGGGTGATAGTTGATCCAAATATCTTATCCAGCCGTTTCTCGAAAGGAGCAGAGGGTATCGGCCTCAACAGCATGGCTGGCTAGCTTTTTCCAGACTCCACCACCCTTTGTTTGTAGATGCTATCGTCTGCAAACATGATTAGATTACTAACTATACCAGTGTAAATCAGTCTTGATAAAGTATTACAAAACAGGCTACAGTACCTTCTGCAATAAAGGACTGTGGTTCTGATTGTGGTTAGAAGTTGTATTTTGTTGAATCATTCATAAACATTTTATTAATAGCATATTTTTTGGCATTTGCAGCCCTAATGTCTTGCCATTACACTTTTGTGGAAGTTTATCAAGTCATCCGAAAATGTAAATGTACTGTATTGTATGTTTTGTCCGAATTCCTTCATATTCGTTTACATCGATAGATCTTTGAACAAGACCTACATTTTCTTGACTATATCCTAGACACCTACTGGCATACAGATTTTCAACTTCAAATTGTTTAACATAACTTTACATGTCATAGAAGTCTTAATTCCTGGGTCCAGTCCTGGCCCTTTCCTCCGTGACTATTGGAAGAGTTTTATTAAGGAGCTGTGGCCTGCATCTTGTTTCCTTATGTGCAGTTGGTAAGATCTGGTGATTTGTTGACCTTAAGTCCTTCTTGTACCCAAAACACTCCGGCCTCTTTTATGATAAAACTGTTTAATTCAGAATATTGTCCATCTGCCTGAGGCATGTCGATTTCTTCCTTCATGCCTCAGGACTGACTCTGAACACCTGAGTGGCCTACTCATTTTGTACATCAGCCGTTTCCCTTTCATCTAGAGGTTTCCCTTTATTGTCCGTAATACACTGTTTTACCCTTCATTACAGTTTATTTATTTCTCTTGGCCTTTTCCACTACCCTTTTACTCACGCTTGTAAATGTGTACTCTTTTAACTGGATGCTGTTCTGTTTAAAGGTCTTTCTTTTTATATTTTTTCCTGATTGGCTTACTAAACCATTTTGCTTTAACGTCGCCTGAACAAGCAGGGAAATAGTAGATGGATTGCATGGCCGAACCATTTGTATTATTGCTTTCTAGGCCGTTTGTTCCACGGATGAATCTGCCTTGCGCTCGCTGGAAGTCAAATCTGCTGATGCCGTTTCCAGATCTGTCCGGTCCCATTCTGTTTCTCCTGCAATCGTTTCATTTCTTCTTCTAGTCAGTTCCCTAGTGGTTTGACCTCCGTTTTCCTGTCTCTATCTTGATAGTTTGGAAAGGCTGGATTAGGACGGGCATCCCGTCTTGTAGGTGCTCTGACATGAGGAAGAAAGCATGTCATTTGTCACAAGAACAACAGCTGCCTTTGCTGGAAGCCTTGTCCGGACGCTGTCTATCACCTCCTCTCTAGCGAGTGTTGACTCTGGGCCCTAGAAGTGTACCTCAGCAGTGTCCATGAATGTCTTTCACACCCCACCTCCCTTATTCCTCATTTTAATTCCCAGCTTTTTTTTTAACCAAAACAGATTGATGGTAGTGACACTGGGCACACTGTTTACCCTAAATCTGTTTAGATTGTCTCCCTTTAGGAGGTTTATTTGGAATAACGTACCCTCCGTCACGCAGAAGTCAGGGCTTTGGAGATTTAGTTTTTTCCTATCTAGTTGACAAAGTAAATAACTTTCAAGTAAGTCCGCTCTATAATTTGGGGGCAGGGCTGTCCCCCATTGTGAAACTTAGAAGGTTCAATGGCCTCTCAACATTTCACTTTCTCTAAAGTTCTCTAAAAGTAATAAATCCTGAGGCAGGCTGGTCCCGCTCAGAAGTCCGGGTCCTGTCTAGGAACAGAGACGGCCTTGCCAGGGTAAATATGGAGCTCTAGCTTCACAGAGGACTGCAGGATTTGTGATCTGCTGCCAGCATTAAGGATCACATTCGCACGCATTCTCCAGGTGCATTTTGCCTCTTTCTTTTTTGGGGAGAAAGTGAAATGATCCCCAAACGGTCGTGGGGCAGTTTCTGAAGGATTCAACTACTGGAACCCATATCCAGAGAGATCCTGGGTGAATTGGCTGCAAAGTGAAGATGGTTAGAACAGAAGCTAAATCCAAGTTAAAAACCGTTTTTTTGCACAGTGTGCAGCTAATTAAGGCCTGCTTTTCAAAAAAACAGGAGGTGTAGGGGTTTAGAAGATTGTGTGTGAGGGGGGGGGATCCCCTTGACTTTCAGCTCCTGAGGGCTGAAATTCAGCTTCACTCATGAGAAAGCAGCAATGAATGGCTGTTGGTGTCAGACGAGTCCCAGGGAGTCTTTGTTAGACAACAAAATCCGTGCACAGTTTGGCATGGTTAGGTACAATTTGTCAGTATCTGTTAAGGGAAGACCACACTGAGTTACAAAGGGTTTTTATTCATAGGGATCCCTTGGAAAAAGCTCCACCCTTTGCTGAGCTAGAAAACTTTTGATCTGTGTTTTTAAGCCTGGGTTTGTGAGTACCTTATGTGAGTGGGTGAATGATTCCTGGC